AAAACTGCAATTTGGGATCCCCATATAATTTGTACTTTTTTTTTTTTTAAGATTCCATGTTTCCAGCAGTTGCCTTTTATATTAACTTCACATTACAATTACATTTGTGAAATATGAAGAAAATTCTGCCTTATTTATACTTTCTATTCCAACAATGTTGAATATCACATGATGCCAACACTTGCTTGTCTCTAAATTTCTTTAGTACCATTTTCTTTCCAAAAATGTTTTAAAACTTTATCTCTTTCATGCTAAATTTCTATCTGATATATTGATATTATATTTTTTAAAATTTTATATTTTAAAAAATTTATTTTTTTCCAGTAATGGTCCATGAGACTTTTGGGGAAAGATACTGTGTTTTATTTTAGTTTTACGACTGTACTGCCTAACATTCTAACCGGTATTTTTTTTTTTTTAATTGAGTTGAGTCTCTTCTCAAGATTCACTAGTAATCAAGCATTTCTTACAGAGAAATTTCAATGTGCTCCATGAAGAGAATACAATTCTGAAACATAAATCTCAGCATACTCTTCTGAAAAAGTTAACACTAGTTGGGTTAAAAAGTCAGAAAACATTGCAACTGGAAAGAAACTTTAACTGTTGTCAAATAAAATTGAAACTAATAATCTGAAGGATACACTATTATACTTTGCAGCAAATATTGAACATAGATGTTTTATAATATAACAAAAGCACGTTTCATTCATTGGGTTATTTTCTATTAAATAATTGTGACCATTTTGAAGAATAATAAAAACGATTCAATAACAGTTCATTTCATCAGAGTTAAGATTTATGCAAGTGGACTTTGGGAATTCCTTCAATAGAATTAATACAACAAATTTTTATTTTACAAGGCATTTCCATACCCCAGCTAGTTATTTATTAATTTATCCGTAAATAGCTACAATGGTAAGCAATAGCTTCTATTGCCATCAATATCATTAAAGAGAGACACTGACAATTTTTCTGCCACCTAAGCAAATCATAAATCTTATTCCCACTTAATTTTGAGAGCCAAACAAGAAACAAACTTGTACTTTGAAAGTCAACTTAGTTAAATGACACAAGATTTGGTAAAATTACATTTTTTTAAATGAGACAAAACACTGGATTTTAAGGGAAATGTTTTCAGAACATTTAGAAAATAAAAAAGACACATATAAATAGCTATAACAACTGGCTAAGACAAGCATAATACAACTAACATCATAAATTTTAAGTCAATGTGCATCAAATCTGATTAACTCATACCAAAATGAGTTTCATAATATGATTCACACAATAAATAAATTGCTTTAGAAAAGGAAAAATAATCAGTGTCAGGTGGATTAATAGGAGAAAATATATTAAACAGGACTCAGTGGTGGTAGAATTTGGATAATCACTAAGAAAAGGAATATTTTAAAAGAATTAACTGCATTTACATATGAAATAGATGCAGGATCAACTTGACAGAAGATATATGTAGTCAGAAAAGGACTGATTTTGCAAAGTCTTGAAAGTCATTTGTTAACTTTTACTAAAGTTTTATGAAGAAGATGCTAGTGAAATTATTCTGGCAGCAAAATGCAAGACAGGCTGACGTAGAGACAGACTGACAAGCGAGTAGGAATAGTTGAGGCTTGTGCAATCATATGCAAGGAACATAAGCCAAGGCAACAGCAAAGGGGAAGATGCACAAGACATCCCCAAATAAGAAATTACTGAGTGAACACAACTGAAAATAGATGAGCTGTGGAGAACTAAAGGGAAGAAACCATAGGTGCCTAAAAATGATGCTTTTTAAACTATAAAAATTAAATTAGTACAAAGAGGAAAATGAATAAGCAGGGCCAAAATTGTTGGCCATTTACTAAAATAGGGTTAGCATCAGTTGTATAAACTTATTAGAAATAGGACCATAGGACCAAAATGAGAATTTGAACACTCTTCCTCACTTTCCCTAAAATGATGTGTGAAAAATTATGCTAAGATGAAAAACTCACAAATTACATGAATATTTTGGTATCATGTATATGTGATGGATTTATCAGCTTTTGGTGGCTGTGATCAAAATACCTGACAAAAACATCTTAGAGGAGGAAAAATGTACTGTGACTCACAGTTTCAGTCCATGGTCAGCTGTTACATAGCTCTGTTTGGGATGAGGTGGAGCATCATGGCAGAAAGGTTTGGTGGAATAAAGCTGCTGAGCTTCAACTATCTAGAAAACAGAAATCCAATGAAGGGAGGGTAACAGAGTGGGAACTGAAGTGGTATGGTGTGGCTAGAGGAGGTGTGGATTAGGGCAAGGCTTTGGGTATATACTTTTATTTGGCAAGTGAAGCCTATCTCTGCTTCCTGTTCACCATGTGAGCTGGTTCCCTCTGCCACACTCTTCCACCATGATGTCCTGCCTCACCTCCAACTCCGAGGATTGGAGCTGGACTTCTATAGACTAAGTCCTCTGAAACAGTGAGCCTCAACTGAACTTCTCTTCCCTGAAATTGTTCTGGTCAGATCCTCTAGTCACAGTAGTGAAATAGCTGACTAAAACAGATCCTATAGGAATAACTCACATACAAAAAGTTTCACAAATAAAAACCATCAATCGAGACTTGTCTGGGAGTAATCATAGATCCATTGCTTATAGTGGAAGAATAATACATATATTTGATTTCAACCCATAGGTCATTGGTTGGAACAAATTCTTGTAACAAAAGACAGGTTGACTAAAGAAAAACAAAAATATATGGGTAGGAGTTTATTAACATGTATACTTCATATATCCTTGGGAGATACCAGAAAATAGATCTCAGAGAAGTATCTTTAAATTCCAACTCATACATCATCTTCAACAAAGAATAAAAAGTTATTCGAAAAGTACCAAGACAAAACAAAAAGATTTTGAGTCTCTTAGGGAGACAAGTAAAGGGAAGGCAAATAACTGGCAGGCAAAGACCAGTTAGTAAAGTTTCCTAATGTAGTTTCATCTGGTACTATCTCCAGTCTCATAAGATTCCAGCGTTCTTTAGTGGTCAATCACTTGTTCTCCCCAGTAGAGAGGAGATCAGGATATTTTTGTGTTTGTGAATTTATGCCTTCCTTTTAGGCAAATTGAGAGAAGTCAGAGAGTCCCTGCATCTGGTTCTTAATTGTATTCGCCTCAACAAACTTCATAGTTTAGGGTAGCATATTATGGTCCCCTACATATGAAATTTTAGATAGGCTAACAGAAATTTAGATTATCATCATAGTTTGGATATGAAGTGTGCCACATAAGCCCTAGTCTTACTGCAGACATGTCTGGAGGTGAAATAATTGGATTTTGAGAACTGTAACCTAAACAGTTTATCCTAGTTTGAATGGACTGACAGGGTGGTAACTCTAGGCCTGTGGGACATGATTGGTGGAGGTGGGTCACCGAAGACACGCCCTCCCTGAAACTACTCCTTTTGTTGGGGGCTGGGTACTCTGCTTCCTGGATGCCATTAAACGCATAGCCCTCCCCTGACACACTTTTCCCCCATGATATTCTGACTCTTGTTGGGCCCAGAGCTTCTGACTTGATCTACCATGGAATATACCTCTGAAACTGTGAGCCAAGAAACTTTTTCTCCTCTAAGCTGGTCTTGTTGAGTATTTTGATCGCAGCAAGGAAAAGCTGAATAACACAGTTCTAGAGTGGAAATCATGTTGCTTTTACGTGTATTAATAATGATTTTTGCTGAAATATCATTACTCTCTAAGAGAGAAATATGTATTTTTTTCTCCCACTAAATCAGGGCTCATCAAATTACTGATATTCAGAGCATAAATCAGAGTCCAGGAGATTCTGAATCACTCACAAGCTTGTCAGAAATGTACAGTCTTGGGTCTATCCTACCTTACTGAGTTAGAATCTGCTTTTAAACAAGATCCCAAAGTATATCCATGAAAGTGTGCAAAGTACTGAATTTTCCTTACACAAGTAGATTCATCTGTTCAGATGTGCAGATAACTGACTTTCTATGATATACTATGATTACAATTTTAATGTTTTACACCAACGACATTAAATCGTTTTGTTTAATGGTAAAAGAACGAGAGACTAATGTGAGTGAAATCTACTTCAGGCCTGGTATTGTGTCAGACATCTCAGAATCCATTAATTAACTGAGTATGTACATACAGCACCCCCTGAGAAGTGCTGCTCTCTCTGCATCTCGCACTGTCAAAAGCAGCCTCAGGTTAAGCACCTCTTGTTTCACGGAGTTGATTTCTTCAATAACCATCGTGCATCTCATTTCTGAAAATCCCCGAGAACACCGTGGGCCTGGCTCCGGGGTGCTGGGACGTACCGTACCTTGTAACTATGGGCAAGCGCAAGGCAGCTTAAAGGTTTCTAAAGGAGAAAAGCAAACTTTTCCGAAGTGTTCAGGAAAACTTCTATCCCGGGAAAGCGCTTAACCGGTTTCGTGGAGCGCATTTCGCGGAGCCCACTTCGCACAGGCCGCGCGTCGGGCTCTCGTCCGGGGACCCGGGCGGCCGTGGAGGCTGCAGCGACAGGACCCCCGGCGCTCGGCGGGGCGGGCGCGGAGGTGGGG